CTGCGTCGCGGCGCCTCTCGCCTTCTCCTTCAGGTGGCGCAAAACTTTGCGCCTTCGCATTTGTCAGACAGATCGTATTCTTCCCCACCTCTGCTTCCCCCACCGCCGCCTTCCCCGGCCTCTTAAGGAGGCCAAGCCTGATTCTGATTCCTCCGCTGCTACTTGGCCGACACCCAAGCTTCGTAGTACCCCCAAATCCCGAGGAGCTCGGAGGGCACTGTGCAGCTTGGTCCCCAAGTGCGTGTTTGAAATTTTAAAGGGTGGTCGGAGGGAGTGAGGTGGGGGGTAGCGCTGCAAGTGGAGTGGCTCAGGATTGTCGCTCTCTTTGAGCGCTGCTCCAAGTTTCGGCACCAACCTAGGCCCCCTTCACTCAAGACTGGTCCCCTGCTTTATGTGCCCTCTCCAGCAGGCTGCCGCAATGCCCCTCAACATCAGCTTCGCCAACAAGAACTATGACCTGGACTACGACTCGGTGCAGCCGTACTTCTTTGACGAAGAGGAAAACTTCTACCAACAGCAACAGCAGAGCGAGCTGCAGCCGCCGGCGCCCAGCGAGGATATCTGGAAGAAATTCGAGTTGCTGCCCACTCCGCCCCTGTCCCCCAGCCGCCGCTCTGGGCTCTGCTCGCCCTCCTACAACCTGGCCTTCTTCTCTCCCGGGGGAGACGATGGAGGCGGCGGTGGCAGCTTTTCTACGGCCGACCAGTTGGAGATGGTGACCGAGCTGCTAGGGGGAGATATGGTGAACCAGAGCTTCATCTGCGACCCGGATGATGAGACCTTCATCAAAAACATCATCATCCAGGACTGTATGTGGAGCGGTTTCTCCGCCGCTGCCAAACTAGTCTCGGAGAAGCTGGCCTCTTACCAAGCTGCGCGTAAAGACAGCGGCAGCCGGAGTCCCACCCGCGGCCCGGGCGGCTGCTCCACCTCCAGCCTATACCTGCAAGACCTGAGCGCCGCCGCCTCCGAGTGCATCGACCCCTCCGTGGTCTTCCCCTATCCGCTCAATGACAGCAGCTCACCCAAACCCTGCGCTTCGCCAGGCTCCACCTCTTTCTCCTCGTCCACGGAATGTCTGCTCTCCTCCGCTGAGTCCTCCCCGCGGGCCAGCCCCGAGCCCCAGGCGCTCCATGAGGAGACACCCCCCACGACCAGCAGCGACTCTGGTAAGCTGAGCCCCTCCCGGCCTCTCAAAGGGGATGGGTGGATAACTCCAATTCTCCTTTGGCAGCTTCATCGCCTGGCCCCTTCCGTTGACTCTGCCTTTCTCATTTCTTAACATTAGGAAAGAGAAAGGACAGATCTGGGAACCCATCATCTTGGAGCACTGGGCTAGTGCCCCGCTCACCCCTTCCTCACAGACCCGCCCTCATTGCCAGCAACCCCACCCCCCAGATCGCCCGCCCCTTAAGGAATTTCATTTGGCTTTTTAACTCGTTCTGGTTTACTTGGTTTATCATTTCAATCCCAACTCCCTTTTACCTTTCTTAAACATGTTAATTGACCTGTGACTTGGGGGGGAGGGGGAGGGGCCTCTGAGGTGAATAAGGAAAGAGACTTGATCTTTGAGAATGGAGGTGGGGGAGGGTTTGCCTCCCTCTTCCCTGAACTTCTGAGAAGTTGTTGGAATTTAATGGTCTATAAATTTAGAAAAAAATCAAGAGAAGCAGTGGGTAGAGCCCACCCTCCTCAGGCCTTTTGGTACGGCTGCCAGTTTGGGTGTTTTTGTTGTTGTTGTTGTTTTTAATTCTTTCCCTTTATGCACTTCCAGTAAATAGGGAGTGGCTAAAGTCAAACCCAGAGATTTCCCCACTATCATTTGTTACACCTGAAGGGCTCTTTGTAAAGTCCCTTCAAAAATAGGAGGTGCTTGGGAATGTGCTTTAGTTTGGGTGTGTCCACAGCCTCATTAAGTCTTAGGTAAGATTTGGCATCAGTGTTCTATCCTGATAAATTGCAGTTTTCTTGCCTGCACTGTAACCCCAACTGTCACTCTCTTCCCTTTGTGAGAGGCTCTGGTTCTTTTCAGGGGTCACTGTTTACCTTGTGGAGACCTCGGGTCCTCTCTAATATCCTAAGATTAGGACTTCATACTTACAAGTAGCATTCATTTCATCGGATTGATTGCTTTAAGGAACCATCGCTAACCTCTGTACTTTATATTTCCTTTCTTATTTAAAGAGGAAGAACAAGAAGATGAGGAAGAAATCGATGTTGTTTCTGTGGAAAAGAGGCAGCCCCCTGCCAAAAGGTCAGAAGCAGGGTCACCCGCTTCCGGAGGCCACAGCAAACCTCCTCACAGCCCTCTGGTCCTCAAGAGATGCCACGTCTCCACCCACCAACACAACTACGCAGCCCCGCCCTCCACCAGGAAAGACTACCCCGCCACCAAGAGGGCGAAGTTAGACAGTGGTAGAGTCTTGAAACAGATCAGCCACAATCGCAAATGTGCCAGCCCCAGGTCTTCAGACACGGAGGAGAACGACAAGAGGAGGACACACAACGTTTTGGAACGTCAGAGGAGGAATGAGCTGAAAAGGAGCTTTTTTGCCCTTCGAGACCAGATCCCAGAGTTGGAAAACAATGAAAAAGCCCCCAAAGTAGTTATCCTTAAAAAAGCCACAGGATACATCTTGGCCATTCAAGCGGATGAGCAGGATCTCATTTCAGAAAAGGATTTGTTGCGGAAACGGCGGGATCAGTTGAAACATAAACTTGAACAGCTACGGAACTCTTGTGCGTAAATTGACCTATTGGAGGAACTGGAATTGCTCGTGAATTCTCATTAAGGAAAAAGTAAGAGGGAAAGGTTCCTTCCGAGAGAACTGCAGCAATTATGTCTGAATTTCATTCTGATGCATGGTCAAATGCAACCTCACAACCTAGGCTGGGTCTTGGGACTGAAAGGTTTAGCCATAATGTAAACTGCCTCAAATGGGACTTTGGGCATAAAAGAACTCCTTTTTTTTTATGCTTGCCATTTTCCTTTTTCTTTAACAGATTTGTATTTAAGAATTGTTTTTAAGAAGCCATCTAAAGTTTACCCTAATTTTCCTGTGTAAATATGACCATTAAATGTAAATAACTTTAATAAAACGTTTATAGCCGTTATGCAAGATTTCAAACCATGTATTATAAACCATAATTTTTTTTTTATTTAAGTACCTTTTCCTTTTTAAAGTTGATTTTTTGTTTTCTTATGGTTTTTAGAAAAAAATAAAATACTTGGCAAATATATCATTGAGCCAAATCTTTAGTTGTGAGTGTTTTTTTGTTTGTTCTTTTGTGTGTGTGTGTGTGTGTGTTGTGGAGTTTTTGTTGTTGTTGTTGTTGTTTTTTAATCATTTTCTTTCCATCAATTACAAATTAACAGAATTTGACCCTTCAAAGAGTGAGTGGGCTTACAAAGATGCCTGTAGTTATTTTAAGAAAGCCCAGGGTCTTTCTTTGTTAAAGTAGGCTGTGGGGAAGGTAAACTTGAAAGTCTTTAAGTTCTAAGGGTTGTAAGATGCTTCCTGGAGATTTGTGATTAGGGCCCAGAGTTGATACTTAAAGAATGAAAGGCCAGGAGGAGAGACTGGTCAGAGGGCTAGAGGGAGGAAGACTTGCTGGAATAGGGGAAAGATACAAAGGAGGATATAGGCCAGGGGTGGGGAGGAAAAAAAGGTGGCTCTATTAACTCCTAGTTGAAGAACATCCCCTTATCCACTCACCCAGGAATTCTGCCCAGGGAAAGTTGGGGGGCGGGACTTTGCTTACCTGCCTCCTTGTGTTATCTCACAAACTCACAGCAGGTTAGAGTGGAATGCTACTGCTAACCCTGATTCACAAACAAGGAAATATGGAAGCTCAGGGGGGTTATGTAACTTACCTGAGGTCACACAGTAAACTAGAATCCAGGTCCTATGTAATACTTCATGATGATACATTTGCTGACCCTGTGTCAGTGCTGAGATCAGGAATGTGTTTGATCTTCAGGCCTGATAGACCAACTCTAGTAATATCAAGCTGGATTTCTGTGCTAGGCATGACTTTAGATGAAATTTCACAGCAGCCTTACAACTTCCCTTACATTGCTGAAAAAGAACTGGATAAAGATGAATCTGTTTGTTCACGATCTCTTTAACAGCAAAAAACGTAGAGCCTGGATTCAAACCCAGGCTGCTCCTAACCTCTACCTCTCAGGCAGACCAGCAGACATTAATCATGATGCTTAAACTTACAAGAACAAAACAGTCTAATGACTATATGCTTAGCTTTTCATCAGTCCCCACTTTTTTTTTTTTCCATGTTAATTTCATTTTTATTCAGTTGGTCATGCTTCCATTTTTCTTTTCACATTAAGAAGCCATTGCCCATTCATCCCTATCTTAGCCATTCATTAAGATATTGCTGGCTGTTCCTGGGAAGAAGTAAATTTGGGAATGCAGATCAGAAAATAAAACATACCTGCTCTTGTCATGTGAGTCATTATTTTGGAAACTTACAAACTGCCCCCCCCCAGCCTCTTTAGTACATAGACACTCCTGACATGGTCACCTGTGGCCTATGAAAAGGCATTCATTTTTGGATGTATTAATTATAAGCCTCTAAGAACCCACAGCCCCAACCAGAAACTAGAGTGCTGACAACTAGGGAAATGCAGGTTACCGTCTCTGTTCTAATTACCTCATTGTCTCTTTCTTTGGGATTTTAATCCACCCCCACCCCCCCACACACAAATCAATAAATAATTAAGGTCTTGGGCTCTGACCCTTAGAATCATCTATTCAAACCCTTGATGTCTTTTTCTTGATCTCTTTTTGGGACCTAAGTCCTCCCCTAATAGCTTCAAGCTGTTACACCCTATAGCCTAAATTCAAAGGGTAATACCATCTACTGAAGGTGAGCAGTTCAAAGTGATAGAAAAGCGGGGGCGACCCAAACCGTTCCCTCTCTGCCCCTTTGTGGCCCCAGGCTGGAGTACAGCTGGGATGACTCACTTGGGAACAGAGAAGGTCTTAGTTTGAATCACTGAGTCTGGACAAGCCCATGGAATGGGAGAGAGTGTTCCTCGCTAGGAAAACAACTCCCCAGCCCAAAGGATCAGGAAACTGCTTTGGAGATGTGAAGTTTGGCTGTGGGGGTGGGCGGGAACCATTCCAACCACCTATTAGGCCCCCTCTTCGCTTTATGTAGCCGAAGAATGGTCTGAAAACAAGACCAATGCCAACTCTTTACCAGAAAGTCGGGCTGATCTTGACTCCAATACAAATTGGCCTTCACAACTCATCCAGAGTCCCTGGGGGTCTAGGGCATTGTGCAATCTACTTTGCAGATGACAGTAATCAAGAGTTTTAGATGAGGGGGAGGAGCATGCAATTTGCTCAGGAATACATAGGGCAGGAAAAAGTAAGCTGTAACCAACTATGGCTTTTACCCTGACACTGTTCTGCAATGAACACCTCCTCTAGGGGGTTCCCAGGGGTGGTTTTGTTTAGGGATGGAATGTATAGAGGAAGGAAATATTATTTTATGTTGCCATGTTGAAGCCACAAAGGAGATCAGCATTGTAAAAACAATCTGATTTTTAAATGAACAAAGTTTTCACAATCCCTGCCTAAATACTTAGGCTATACACAGCTTGGACAGGATAGTAGAATTCTAAACTTCTAGTCTTCTAGACAAACTCTGGTGCAAAGCTTGGGAAAGAGGTCAAAAGAATTGTATCAAAAGGTTTCCTGAGGTTTGTCAATAATAACTTATAGTTGGCTCACTAAATAATTAATTTTTTAGCATACACACTAAGGGCCGCTGAAGCATTTCTTTCCAGTAATAAATAATCCACAGGTAGAAAATGTCCTCCAAAAACAATCTATAAATAAACTTCTAATCTTGTGAAGTGCCGTTGAGTCCATTCCAACCTATAGGGACCCTGTATTGGGTTTCCAAGGAGCAGTTGGCTCCACCTTGAGTTTATATTTTTAAGTGCTGTCGAGTTGGTTCTGACTTATAGCAACCCTGTACAAGGTATACAAGGAGCAGCTGGTAGATTTGAACCACCAACCTCATTGCTGAGGAGCAGCTGATGGGTTTGAACCACCAATTTTGAAGTCAGCAGTCCAACACTTATCCTACAGTGCCACACCAGTACCTACTTTGTTTTTGTGGTTGTTGTTGTTAAGTGCCATCCAGTCAGTTCCAACTCATAGCAACCCTATGTAGGCTTTCCAGGTGCGCTTGAACCTCAGACCTTGTGATTCAAACCAACCTTGCAGTCCAACACATTAGCCCACAGAGCCACAGCAGGACTCCAGGACCTGTTTTAAAGGAGATCAAATCTAAAGCCTTTGTCATTAAGTAGATTCCAGCTCATAATGACCGTAGAGGACAGAATAGAAATTCCCTAATCGGGTTTCCAAGACTGCAATCTTTATGGAAACAGAATATCACATCTCTCTCCTCACCCGTGGAGACACTGGTAGGTTCAATCTGTCGACCTTTTAGTTAGCAGCTGAGCACTTAACAACTGCAGGATCAGAACTCCTATTTCAAAGGAGGAGAGTAGAAACAAAGCTGACAGGACGAGAACAGGGACCCAATTTAAAAAGAATACACTAAAAAGACTCTAGGAGCTCTGGTAGCGTAGTGGTTACAAATCGGACTGCTAGCCTTAGGGTCGGCAGTTCGAAACTACCAGCTGTTCCGTAGGAGAAAGATGAGGCGTTCTGCTCCTGTAAAGATCTACAGCCTCGGAAACCCTGTCCAGGGTCGCTATGAGTCGGAATCGACTCCACGGCACATAACAACAATTACATACCATTGGATTCCTGGTATGGCATTGTAGGATCAGCACTGGACTGCGAAACACAAGGTTGTCAGTTTAATACAAGGTTGTCAGTTCAAACCCACCAGTTGCTCTTTGGAAACCATATATGGCTAACTATGAGTCAGAACCAACTCGATGGCAGTTAGCAACAACAACAACAACTATGTACCAACAATGATAGTATGAGTTTTACTATGATGTTAGAACAATTATGCCACTAGTATTTCAAACACCGGCAGAGTCACCATGGTGAATAGGTTTCAACAAAGCTTTCAGACAACGAAAAGCCCAGAAATCTAATTCCAAAAATTAGCCAGTGAAAACCCTTTGGGTCCCAGTTGAATAGTTTCCAAAGTAGTGCGGGATGGTAAGCCCCTAATAAAAACACTCAAATTTGGCGGTGGCTATAATAACCGATGGGGCATGCCTATGGCCACAAAGCTAGATCAGGGCCAAGCAATGGTCCATTCATTTGCACACAAGGTTTCCTTGAGACAACTCATCTGCAACTAACAAGAAAAACATGCCAGGACCTTTTCATTGGACCCTTAAAACAGCCCAACTGGAGAACAATTGTTACAAGTGACAACACGAACGTTGAATGACTCGTCAAAGTCCCACAAACAGCAACCCTAAAATCAACAGAAGTAGCAGTTAATGTTTCTTAGGGACTAAACAGTTCACGTGCATTGTTTTGTTGTTGTTAATGTTGTCAAGTTTATTCTGACTCATAGTGACCTTATTATGCACAACAGGGAAACACTGCCCGTTCCTGTGCCATCCTCACAATTGTTGTCACACTTGAGTCCATTGTTGCTATCACTGTGCCAATCCATCTTGTTGGGGGGGGGGGTCAGTCACTGACCCTCCACTTTACCAAGTATGAAAACTTGCTCAGGAATCGGTCTCTCCTGATAACATGTCCGAAGTATGAGA